GACCATAAAAAGTGTAAAAAAGCTTGTTGCTGGAGTTCCTGCAGGTTCACAAGATATTCATTATTACTTGCGTTATAAGGCATTGTAGTAAAGCTAATACGAGGTGAAATGAAATACATTTGCCAAATTGACCTAATATATATCAAATCATCTCAACAAATTTGTAATTTTATGTCCTCTTTATATCAAACGGGCTGAAGAAATACTCTATCCACTACTTAATACATTCGCTCCATTTGGAGCACCTAATCCAACTCCTTTCTGATCTTCACGTTCATATCCTCGATTATTGTTTCGATGTCATTTCTTGGGAATGAGTTGTATAAGTTTTCCAATTGCTAAAATCAGCCACACCCAATTTCTTCGGGTCTGTCTTCTTTCCAGCGTACAGCATATCATCAGCGATAGCATCTCACCATTTAGCAAAGACTACTATACCTACAGTTTATTTAGTCCTCATTCGTGTACAGTTTCAAAATGTGGCCCATTGCTAAACCCCCTTTTGGGAGCGCCATTTCTTCGCTCTTATCGGTACTGACTATCTCTTCCAATGGGATTATTTACTGCAGTCTTCCAGAAGGTTGCTCAGATCTCTGGAGTTTATCAGCTTGGAGGTAAGAATCGGAATTGAGTGGGAGAGACAAAACCTTGTTTCAGATGCAGGAAAGATCAACCTTTCTAGTGGTGTATTTAATATTCCGCTATCTGCAAATATAATGATCGTATCGAGTGGAAAAGTTTGATGTTTTAAACGAATCTTTATGTTTTAAAAGATAGTAAATATAAAAAAAATAATCGATAAAGTTTCCTTTTTTCTTAATCAAAAAGAGAAAGTTGTTTGATACAGTTACCCATTAAATGTATAAGAACAGAGTAATAAAAATGTTACCGAGATTGCTTTTCTTGGGTTTATTGTGTGTTATATGAAGAACGCGTGTTCTGTGCTTAATTTAAGAATAAATCGCGTCATTTGTCGAAGCCATATTGGGTACGAAAATTTTCTTTTGCGGTCGTTCGATTCTTAATTAATGTGAAAGGGGAAAAAGTAAAACAAAAATTGAAGAACGGGTATTCAATCACCGGAAAATTAGTTCCGCAAATCGTAGAAAAAGTACGAATAGTTTTCAAAAGGAGGAAATGTAACTACAGATAATAATCTTTTTAGAATTGATCAACTTTTATAAATAAACAATCAACATAAATTTTTTTAAATAGATTCATTTTAATTAATACAACTAAATGGGAGTAAAAATAAGAAATTTTGTTGTTTTGATAAATTTATCAAAATAAGTTTAATGATAAAAACACTTTTTGGATATCTCAAATACTTTTGGAAAAATTCTTATTTACAATTCAACAAAACAACAAATGTTTTTGCCATCACAAAACAAATATTTTTCTCGACAGATGGATTATGAATAATATTTTTATGCGCTCCTAAACAATTTAGAAAATTTACAATTTTAAATAACAAAGTATTGTTAAATCATTATAAAAAAAATAAATTGGCTGTTACAAAATTTTCATCAAATTATAATTCTAGGTCTAATTAATCGAAACTGGTCCTTTTAATCTCATTCGGAGAACAGCTCACAATATTTTTTATTTTTTGGGGCCAAGGTTTTGCTTCCGTCACTTTTTAATTTAAACAATTGGTCCTTTTCATTTATTCTACGAACAAAGTTGCGCACTTTACCTTCATAAAAAAAGACGAATTAATTATTATTAATTCAAAAACATAATCGAAAATCAAACGTTATTAATATATACTCTAATGATGCAACTTTATTCAAAATGAAATTATCTTGATTGAAAAAATTAAAAGTGGTTGTAAAAAAAAAGTTATCTAGCATAAAGTTCAATAACTTTGAATTTATATGAAACAAAATGCTAATGGAATGCTAATCAAGTTGAAGCCTAGAGCCAACTCGTCCATTTAATGTAAATCGTGCTCTAGAATCGACCACAAAGCTTATTCAACAAGAGAGAATATGAGAGTTTTATTTTATTTCACGTAAAAGGCTTTCTTAAATATATCTAGAAAAATTTTAAAACAAATGTTTAAATAGTAAACAAGTTTTGAAATCGTTTTAATCCATGATAACGATCGAATAGTAACCAAAATAGTTTGCCAAAAAATTCAATTGGTGATTAATCATTTATTACAAACTTGTTTTGTACCAAATTTAAATTACCTTTAGAGTTTTAACACATGTTTTAACGGTCAATGAGTTAAAGTCCAAATTTCAAACCTCCAATTACCAAGATTATATCAGAAAAGGGTATCACAACAGGGAAATGACTCAATTCTTATCATTTGACATAGACGAATCTATTATTCACCGATTAAATCGCCACCAAGCTTTTTTCTATTACTTATTAAATAAAGGTAAACTTTTTGTTAATTTATCAACTGACTATAAATATTATCCGTATCCGATCTTTACATCTATAGGAAGACATTTTGTAGTTAGAGAAAAAACTCATATCTTGAATTTAATTAATTTAATTTCTAGATTTTGTCAAAAAGTAAACTTTCTAATACTTAAACACTTATTTAATAGAATTATATAAATACTATAAATTTCTTAATTACTTCAATAATTTTAATTGCATTTTCTAATAAAGACTTTATGGAATAAATTGTTTTTCTCCAATTCTAAAATTCTTTTTTATTGAAACTTTTTCTGAAATATGTTCTTCGGCTTTTGACCACATGCTTATTATAAAATAGTAAGTTGATATAGTTTAGTTTGATTTTTATTGCAAAATAAAAGTAACATTACTTTTTTTTTGAAATTTTTCATCTGCCTCGATATCGTTTCTCAAATTACCCTTAAATTATATTCTGGTGAAAGCGATTTTCATGATCATCTCTTGAAAATGGATTTTAAATGATATATTGCATTATTATGAGAGGAATTTAGCGATTATTTAACTTTTTCATGGAAATCTGGAGATTTGTAATTGCTGCCATTATTTGGACATTATTTGTGATATCGGCAAAAGCTTACCATACTTGTTTTTCTATGGAATTAAGACTTATTAAAAAGTGGGATTATAGATGAATTTGCTTAGATTACAAACATTCCTGTTTTAATTTTGGCTTCACTGAGCCTAGAAAATCTATTTGTCAGAAATGCTTCATCTTTACAAAGTGCTTTCAGAAAATTCTTGGACCTTCAAGCCCCACTTCAACGCACACAGATCTTGAAGACCAGTTTTATTTAAAATAAAGTTCTGAATGCGTCCTGCTCTTATTCACAGAGGAATCAACTATACGCCATTTAAATGCTATGTATGTATTTAATTTTTTCCAGAATCAAATCTCATAGGTTTCTTTTAAAAAAGCTCCATACGCAACAAGTAAAGATGAAAATATGTTTCTGTTATAGAGTAAAACTGCCTTTAGACTTAGTTTTGATCTGTCAATAAATAGGAAATCTATATAAAGAGATTGTCACTAAATCTTGCGAAATGTATAAGTTAGATTGTATATCAGAGAAATACCAGAGTTTGTGGTTTTTTAAGATAGGCGTATGCTTTTACGTACGGGAAGGTTGACACGTACGGCACAAATCACGTTTTTCGATTTGTTATATTGTTTTTTATGAATCTACGTCCATCTAACCGCATCGTACTCTTCGGCACTGTCTATATGAAGTCTGGTAGGCGAATTAAATCCGTTGAATTCTCCGATGATGATGTCATTCAAAATACCGAATATGTACGCGCTTTTCGGCATGCAGATTTAGTATTTGTAGTTAGCCAAGACGTATATTGCTCGACTTGTATAACAGTACCAAGTAATGTATAATTTACGTCATGTAGATGAAAAATGATGAATGTGGTAAACATAACTTCGCATTTCTCTTTATATGAAGTTTATGGTGTTATGAAATTCTGGAATATATTTGGAGTAGATGTTTCTTAAGTAATTATACCCTAAATATAACACATACTGTATTTCGTATTATAAGAGTTAGTAGATTTCCTGTTGCAATGAATTTTATAAAAACATAGCCGTCTTGAGAGACGTGCGGCTAAATCCGAATGTTTCTAGATCTCGGTCTAGTGTTACTTCTAGTTTTGCACTAGCACTGTCACAAAAACTAATATAAGACCTAGATCTAGAAACATTCAGATTTAGCAGCACGTCTTTCAAGACGGCTAAACACGAATGATTCCAGTTCTAGGTCTTGTATTAGTTCTAGTGCTAGCGCAGAACTAGACTACTACTGTTAGTTCTAGTTTTAATTCAATACAAATATACTACATAGTGATATCTTATGTTAAGTAGCACTACCTACCACTGAAATATATTTTTGTTTATTGCATCTTAAGTGAAATTCACTATATTGATAGTGTTTTAAAGTAACTTTAAGATAGGTATCTAATTATGAGACAATATTTTTTGTTATATCCAGAAATCAACTACAAAAACAATCATTTCTTTAAACCATGAAGAATCTTCAAAGAATTAGTGTGATGGTAATATCTATATTTGCATTTAATTAAAATTACCTTAACTAATAAAATTTTAATACACCTATTTAACATTAATGAATCAATCCAAGCATAATAAGCTAATTAAAAGTGCAATTATTTCTCGCACGCCTTCAAGAAGCTTTCTTGAAACTTTCTTCTTCTTTCCATGCGCTTCGGAAAAGAGAAAAATCTAGATACAATACGTGAACTAAATCAATAATACCAAAATTAACACCATAATAAGTGCACCCAAAAAGAGGTTAATATCAAAACCTTGATTTAAAAATAAATTCCAAGGGTAGATTTAAAATTTAAAATATAAACACATCAAAAAAACGCAAAAAGAAGTCGTCACAATTTCATTTGGAGGTGACAACGTATTCAACGAAGTAACCGACGTTGTGGTAGGTCATTGTTACGACCGTGACACTGTAGTCGTGAGATCCCCACGCTCAAATGCGCCAACAAACTTGGTGGGAGTCGAATAAAACTTATAAAAGCCGTGGAGTTCTCGACGACTTATTCAGTCGCAGCAGAAGGTAGGTCACCAATTCGCCGGTGTAGCTTTATTTTTTTAAAGCTACGGGTGTAACTAAGACACGTGGCTTTCCCGTCGACAAATCAACACTTTTTTGATTCCTTAAAAAAAAATTAATTGTTAAAAAGAACTACAAGTGATATTATCTTGTGATACTTAAGTTTAAGAGTTTAATTATTAAGAAAGAAAGAAAACGAAGACGTCAAAATGCCCGTAATTGAGGATACAGTTACCACAACGGAAACGATAATCGAAGAAAACGAAGATATCCCATCAAAAATTTTGGAAACCCGAGATAGTATTTCCTCAATTGATTCAAACATTTCTTTATCATTTGATAAACCGCGTAAAAATTCTCAAAATGAAGCTGAAGATGAAGGTGCACATATGGGAGATCTTTCTGATTCTGCTTCGGATACCGGATCGCAAGGAGGAGGGAAAGATTCAGGTTGTGAGGTCACTCCGGAAGTAGTTGAAGAACCTCCTTTCCAACCACCATCTGATGAACTCGCCGATAAGATCGTACAACAAGTCGAATTTTATTTCTCCGACGCAAACATCAGCAAAGATGCGTTTTTATTAAAACACGTTAAAAGGAATAAAGAAGGGTACGTTTCATTAAAATTAATTTCAAGTTTTAAAAGAGTTAAGCATATCACTAAAGATTGGAGAGTTGTCGCTCACGCTTTAGCAAGATCAAAAAAATTAGAAATCAACGAACCTGGAACAAAATTAAGGAGAATTGATCCGTTACCACAATATGATGAAACAACACCTTCAAGAACCATAGTTGCTGTTAATATGCCTATTGAAAAACCTACAATTGAAAATGTCGCCGAATTATTTAAAGAATGCGGAGAAATTTCTTTAATAAGAATTTTAAGACCTGGAAATCCAATACCTGCAGATGTTCGGCAATTTATTAATAAAAATCCGTCTTTAGCTGGATTAGTATGCGCTTTAGTCGAATTTGTTGTTTCGGAATCGGCGAGAAACGCTATTAAATTACAAGAAAATCACGAAGAACTTAAAGTTTACGAACTTAACGGTGTTCCACATCCAGAACGTAAAAAGAAAAACAACAAGAAAACCATAAATAATAAAAAATCATCAATTGAAAAAATTAACGAAGAAGATAAAATTTTAGATCCACGATTAAAATTACGTAGAGGCAATTCATCACATTTTCCATCGAGAAATATCGAACCAGCAGCTTGGTTACAAAGAAGATTTTCAGCGACAACAGCCGAAGCAAATTTTTTGTTTATGCCGAGACGTTTATCTTATGGTAGTAGAGATTCAAGCGATTCTAGTTTGTATACACCAAGAAGGTTAAGCTCGGCAAGTACTTTATCAGGTTTTGAAAGTAGTGGAAGTAGCAGTTATAACCGTAGAATGTCTTCGTGTAGCCAAACATCAGATAGCAGCTGTGGTAGATCGAGAAGTAATAGCACAGCTTTTCATAATGATAATTTGGTACGATTACCAAAAGGACCGGATGGGTCTAAAGGTTTTGGGAGACCAAGACAAATACCAGCTTAAAATTTACCATTTTTTAAAACCGCATTATTGTTACTGCTAAAAATTTTTTTTAAAGGTTAAGATTATGTCCAATAAAATAAAAATTGATTTCAAAAAATTAGTTGGTGAAATTGAAAATTCGTACTTAGATTGTTGATTGAAATATGTTCTATTAATATTTTTTGATTATTTTAAGGTGATGAAAAAATGCCACCAACTAAAACCTTGAAATTTTTATTTTATTGAATATTTATGTTTTTCTTTGTAATTTATTTTCTATTTTTAAAATTCTTTTTGTAATTTATTATTGTCCTTTAAATTTCGTTTTGTAAACTTTAAGGGTCTTTCAAATCTCGTATTATTTACGTACTTAATTTATTTACTTTGTAAGTTTTCGATTTATTATTATTCCTTATACATAAAAAAAGCATTCCCAAGTTGTGTGTTGTGTTTTATTTATTTAATTCCTAATAACATAATATCAAAATATACCAATTTATTTAAATTTGACAACGAATTTTGCAGATTATAAAGTTTTAGCATTAAATTTCTATCCCTCACTAAAAAAAAATGGTAGTTTCTCTTCGAGGCGGCACTTTCGAGGGAGAAAGTAACTGTATTAAGTTTTACTTTTATTAGAATTCAATTAAAAAATTCAAATTCTATTTTATTCTTTTAATTTTACGACTTTGCTAAAACAACGACAATTATGTAAGTTATTACACAAATTGTTTATAAACATCACCTTATTTTGTGTTGATCCATTTCAGTCCTGTTAAAATCTTTTTATTCTTGCATGATTTCATTTTATTATAAAATTCAATAGAAAGACCTTTCTCCGTAATTATATAGACCTTTTTATGCTTATCCTTATTTTTATATAAACATTGTTCGGATTAAGTTACACGAATGCTTTCTAAATTTACGCTTGGTGAATCGGGAGAGATTTGATTATTTTATTGCATTTTTTTTATTTTTCTCGTGATTGGAAAGAGCTAAAATTATTTGTCCTACATTTTAAGTTATAATTACGGTAAGTTGCACAGGAAAAAAAAGTTTCTTGTGACCTATTATTATAGTTTATAATGATGAACAAAAAGATTGATCAATTATTTATAGTGGTCTTATGACAAAATGATTTATACCAAATTTTTCTATTACCTTTCTTAATTTTGCAAATTTATCTGTTCTTAAAAGATTTAATCAAAGTGTGTAATTTCTATTTCCATTTACAAATATAAATCTTTAATAAAATGATTAACATCAATGCTTTCTTCGTCTTGAATTCGTTCTACGAAGCAAACACAAAGGTAAGAAACTAAGATTTTAATATAAGTCATTTAAAACCACCAGAATTAATCAATTTTTCATGATAAAATACTCTGGATTCGAAGCATACTACAAAAAAACTTTTAGAACAAAAGTTGTAGCAAATTTTGTTCTGGACAATATTGCTCTCTTTCAGGTTTGCTCTCAGATGAAAAAATATCGAGATAAATACGAAAATATGAAAATTAGATGAATGCGTAGTTTACTACTTGTTCATGGTAGGTAATGCTCGCGATTTGAAGCATATTACAAAAAAACTTTAAGAATGACATTTGTAGCACATTTAATTCTTAACAATATTGCTCTCTTTCACTTTTGCTCGCAGATGCATAAATATCGAGAAAAATGCAAAAATATGAAAATTAGTTGAATTCGTAATGTTACATGCTCTTGATAGTAACACTACGGATTTGGACCATACTACAAAAAAGCTTTTAGAACAAAAGTTGCAGCAAATTTTGTTCTGAACAATATTGCTCTCTTTCACTTTTGCTCTTAGATGCAAAACTTTCGAGAAAAATACGAGAATATGAAAATTAGATGAATGCGTGTTTACTACTTGTTCATGGTAGGTAATGTTCGCGATTTGAAGCATATTACAAAAAAACTTTAAGAACGACATTTGTAGCACATTTAATTCTTAACAATATTACTCTCTTTCACTTTTGCTCGCAGATGCATTAATATCGAGATGAATACGAAAATATGAAAATTAGATGAATGTGTAGTTTTACATGGTGTTGATAGTAACACTTTGGATTTGGAGCATACTACGAAAATACGTTTAGAACAAAAGTTGTAGCAAATTTTGTTCTGAATAATATTGCTCTCTTTCAGGTTTGCTCTCAGATGAAAAAATATCGAGATAAATACGAAAATAGGAAAATTAGATGAATGTGTAGTTTTACATGGTGTTGATAGTAACACTTTGGATTTGGAGTATATTACGAAAATACGTTTAGAACAAAAGTTGTAGGAAATTTTGTTCTGAATAATATTGCTCTCTTTCAGTTTTGCTCTCAGATGCAAAAATATCGAGATAAATACGAAAATAGGAAAATTAGATGAATGTGTAGTTTTACATACTGTTGATAGTAACACTTTGGATTTGGAGCATAGTACAAAAAAAATTTTAGAACAAAAGTTGTAGCAAATTTTGTTCTGAACAACATTGCTCTCTTTCAGTTTTGGTCTCAGATGCATGAATATTGAGAAAAGTACGAAAATATGAAAATTAGATGAATTCGTAGTTTTACAGCTTGGTAAACAAAATATGACCGTGGATTGGATAGTTACGGTGGAAGAAGGAGGTTTTGGATTGCTTTACTTGAAGTCACTATTTCTGCAGTCAGCTCTCTGTAGATTGAACGCTTTTCGAATATCCAAGAACAGTGCCGCAGAATGACGTTTTTGGAAGCATGTCATTTGAAAGTTGGAAATCAGCATAGTCAGAGTGTGGGACGTAGATCTAACAGACTGAAAGTCAAACTGGTACGAAGGTATTTTATTTGAGACAGCAGATCTTACCAATGACAAGAAGGAAGATAGGATGATAGTTGGACGGATCAGATAGTGATGATTCTTTTTTGGGAACACAAATTATAATGTAATAAATTACGTTTCAGATTAAAGCTATCGATAATAGAAAACCCCTATCCAGAAGTCAGAATAGGATATAACTTAAATCGAACTTAATTGAATTAATCGAATTGATGGTTTTGAATTCAAGGGCAAATAAAGAAAATCAATCATTGCAATTGAAGTACAAGTTTAAATTGAAGGTTTAAAGTTGAAAACCGAATCGAGAACGGATGTAAAAAGAGAAATTTCCGCTCTAGTTCCTCTTTAATCTTCTCCCCTGATGGCGATACTAATCAAAGACATTAAATTTATTATTAAAGCTTCGGTGAACGTATATAATTATAAATTTATAACTTAAAAAGTATAAATGAAAAAGTCTAAAATATTTAGAATTGTACTTATTAAAGTTATAAAAACTTTCGATATCAGGTAACATAAAAACGTGTAAAAGGAAAAAAAAGATTTTTAAGATAACCTGAAGATGTGAAATAATTTTAACTCGTTGAAAGCACACGAAATGTCAACGAGATCGCGAAACACGAAGCGTAAAAAGTTAATTGTTCATGAATTTAGAATGTGACCTCGATACGGTCAGTGTTCTCCTTATCAAACTTTCACTGTACTATTTTACACAGGTTAACAACAACAAAATTGTTTATAACGAAAAGAAGATTATTTTATTTATTAAATTTGATATTTAGGAAAGATCATGGTTATATCTTATTATATCTTGTTAAAATAGGTTAGTGATCGCTTGGTCTTTTTAATAAAAACTCACCTGGCTCATTTCAATTAACTCCGCAAAAAGAGTTAAACAGCTTTCCACTTTAGGAGTCCATTTTATGTTTTCGTTCTTTTAAAGCGAACGTCTTCCATTCGCTTTTAACCGCAACCCGTTTCATTCAAACCGGACTTTCTTCCTGGTTACTATATATCCATGAAGAACTCGATTCTAGTAACGGTAGTGTCTCCTCTTGTTATTACACCATAACAGGTCATCACCTCATCACCAACAGAGTTACTTAAGCGAAAATGTTGTAGTTAAAAAAAAATCTGTACAAGATAACATCAACGACTTTAGTAACTTTTATTTTACTCTTTACCATATGAAATTTTCTAATCACAAAAAAATTGTAGCTACAAAACAAAGTTAATTGAATAAATTTCCTTCTTCCTTCTTGATTTCACCGTACATGTTAACAAGATTAAATTAAACGTTTAAGATTTGTTTCTGAAAAAAATATACATAACGCACGCTTTCGCTGAATACCAAATATCGAATCCAACAAACTGAAAGTGTGCGCACACTTTCATCGATTCTGAAATGGAATGTAAATGCAATTTGCCGTCTATTGAATCGAACGAATTCGTATTTAAACGATATTTCTTTATTCTATGGAATTCCGCCCAGAACTTTAAGTTTGAGACTTTGAGACCAGAAAAATGTCCTTATGTCGTCATCTTATCAGCATTTTTAGTCTACGTAACTAATTTACGAATATTTAAATTTTATTTTTGTACGTTTTATTTATTTATTGCTAAACAATAGGATTATAGTAAATAATAAACCAAGCATTTTAACTTTACCATTATTTAGTTATCATATAAACCTTAACGTTTTTAGAAAAGTGAAAATAACAATGGAAAATAACCGTACCTATCTTAAAAAACATCGCAGTAAATCTTTTTTTAGGTATGATATTAATTGCATTGTTTAAGAGAAAGTTGTAACAAAGCCAAGATTTAGTTGTAAGTTGATCCAGATTTTTAGTAGTCATTCTTCCATAAACATTTTGACAAGTTATCAGCTTCGGTTTCCAAACTTAAAGAAAAGATTCTGTCAAAACTGTTGCTCAGAAAACTCAATAACGAACACTCTGAAGGAATATTTCTAAGTCCTATATTTTAAATCCTATTTCTAGAGAAATGTTATTTTCTAAGTACGTGTAGCTACTTTTTTGGGACTTTTCAACTGTTACATTAATTTTTTTTGCTCCTAAAAGTCTAAAGCGCAATTTATACGAAGAAGTAAAGCAATCGAAAGCATTGTGTCTGAAAACATTTCTCAAAGCAAGTTCCAAAAGTCTTCAATTCTATGATTTCAAGTATCATGTAGTGTCATGCAGTGGTAAATATGTTGTTAAAAGTGTCAACAAGTACCAGAGAGTGTCAAAAGGTATAAAACTACAGGAAGGAAGAAAGTTGATGAATAATAAATAAACAAAATAGTTATTGGCAGAAAAATCTTCTTCAAATGGTAGTGCAGAAAAGTCTTTTAAGATTTATTATATCCACTATTTGGTTTATTGCTCCTGATGTGCGCATCACAGCTAGATATGTGGCAAAATATGTATCTTGAGACTTGTCTGCAACATCAAACCAAGTTATTATCTAAGCAAAAAAGAACCCAACGGAGAAGCTAGTAAGAAAAATTAAAGAAATTCCAGCAGAACAACAGAAAAATTTATTTCTACAAGCTCCAGTACCACCAAAAATTTATGGATTGCATAAATTCCATAAACCAGACGAGAAGATCTAACAGTCGCAAAGCATTAACAGAGAGCCACACGATTGATTTCGATAGGACCAAGCCACTAGCCAGAACAGGAAATTTCTATCAAAGAATAGCAGAAGCCATAGAGATCCATCGGCATAGCAACATAGTATTCGCAATGACAAAGGATTTTTCAGAAAACGCAGGGCTAAACTGAAAAAAAATATATAGTCCATTTTGTCCACGGTTTTACAAGCTACTTTTCCCTTATAATTGAAAGATTCTAGATGAATTTGTGAATGCGAGAAAGGAGGTTCATCCCTACCTTTTCAATCATGGAATACAACAGACGAACTTACCATTTAGAAGCCTGGAACTGCGCGTGAAATCTAATATGATAATTATACTTATAATTACCTATTTGTAAATGATGTATATAAATAGAAGAAAATGAAGTGAATCGTTTGTACGATAACAACTTTAACACCCAAGTTTCGAGGTTGTTCGACCGTTCCAAACAAGATTGGGGCCATAGAACGGAAGCCACGAGAAGTGGAACACCACCAAAAGGTGGCCTTCAAACAAAGTGATTGGTTTATTAACAAATCGAAACACAACTATGTGGATATTTATAGAATTTATACTTAAATTTATATCAAAACAAGAATATAAAACCGTTTTTATTTAAAAATTGTTAACCATTATTAAATGAAGAATTGTAACAGATGGCACGTGTGAAAAACTTTCCAACCCATCAGCTATTAAAAAAAGAAAGAAAATCGGTTATAATTTTTCGGTTTGCCAATGATTCGAGGTCGACATTTGAAATCTGGGTAAACGAATAACGTATATGGTTGGTTCGTTAAATGTGGTGAATATCACTTTCACCAGCCAACACGAACAAAATGATATAGTAGTAGAAATACGATAGAGAAGCGGTGAGTGTCACGGATACCGCGGGTAACGCTTCTTGTTCTATGTTAAAATGAGAAGCTCGGTTGGCTTCTTGAACGCTTGCTTTACGTTCGCCAAGTTGAGGAGGGTTCAATGTCTTTCAATGCGGCAGAACTTGACATTGCAAATGCTGAGAAGCGTGAAAGAGAAATTTTAAATTGTTGTTATAATAACCAGCCAGCAATTCTTTTTAATGATGATAATTTTAAAAAATTAAAGAATTTTTTTCAAATATATATATTTGTACTTAAATAGATGTTAATAAATCTGAACTAAATGTACACACTCATTATAATACAAAACATTAAAAGATAAGTAAAGCATTTCAAATACATATTATAAAAAAATAATCACTCAAACATGTAGGGTTTATTTATAAAAATAACCGAGTTAGGATTATTTAAAAATATTTTTTTTTGGGTTAGGTTGCAAATTAGAAATGACTCATTTTAATTAATCAAGAACATTAATATGTTCCAAAGGTTTTAAAAGATTCTACAATTTTTACAAAATGAATTAATAACAATTATGTGTATATGATACTTGAATGTTTAATATTATTATCTATACAATATGTATAAAAGACAAATAATACGAAATTACAATTTCAACCCGTTTTTTATATTAATTAAAATAATATACAATTCTATGTTTAAAATAAACCAATGTGCAAGAAATATAACTTAAAAATATTCAGTAATAAGAACATAACCCAATAAAAAGTCATTATCGTCATAATTCGGTTATTTAAAAGTTCACTCCTTAAAAGTAATATTTATAAAAGAATATGTATATTTTTTAAAAAATAAAACCTATTTGACTTTTTCGATTTCCAATGGGAATTTATCAACCTCGTCACACATTTTATTGAATTCTGAATACCATTTTTCAGCTGCAGCTTCCTATAAAAAAAATAATTATTAATAAAATGTTATAAGTAGAAATAAAAACTAATCTGATATACCGGGAATTAGTTACGCAACTACTGCCCCACATAAAATGCAACATAGCTTAATAGTACAGGCATTGGGTAGTTTTGCAAAGGAAAAGCTTTGCTTGGAAAAAAATCCCGAATGGTTGTATAATAGTTCTACTACAAAACTAGAACTAACACTAGACCTACATCTAGAAACATTCGGATTTAGTCGCATGTCTCTCAAGATGGCTAAACCAGAATGATTCTAGTTCTAGGTCTTGTGTTAGTTCTAGTGATAGTGCAATACTACAACTAACACTAGCCCTAGATCTAGAAACATTCGGATTTCGTCGCACGTCTCTCAAGATGGCTAAACCCGAATGATTCTAGTTCTAGGTCTTGTATTAGTTCTAGTGATAGTGCTAGCGCAAAACTAGAACTAACACTAGACCTAGAACTAAAAAGTTTTGGATTTAACCGTGCGTCTTTAGACGCACGAATTTTTCTAGTTCTAGGTCTAGTGTTAGTTCTAGTTTTAATTCAATAAAGATATGCAACACAGTGATATCTAATGCTAACTAGCGCTACCTAGCACTGTCACTAGAATTAACACTTCACGAACTAGAACGACAAACATTCAGGTTTAGAGGTCTTAAGAGACGCATAGCTATACCCGAATGGTTCTGGTTCTAGGGTTAGTTCTACTTTTCGTTCGATAAAAATACAGGATGTTTCTGTAAATCGTGGCATAATTTTAAAACCATAAATGGTTAAGAAATGGGCCTTCAAAGTTAAGAAATTTTCAAACATTTTCTTAAATATTTTCAATATTGTTTGTCTTAGAATTACTAAGTTTGGCAAACAGTGCAATGTTATCATAAGAAATCGTTTAAGATCTCTGTTGGAAATATCGAACGACGGGATCAATGCTATACAGGATGTGAAATGCAATTTTGTATGTATTAATATCAATATTGTATGGTTAATACCTTATTTTCAACCATATCTTAAACTTCTCTAGCGCCCTCTAAGGGGATGAAATTCATAACCGCTTTGACTTTTTTATAATAACTTTTTAACGCTATGGAATATTAACATAAAAAAATATGGGTTGTAAAGCTTATTCATTATTGGTACTTTTTTGTCTCTTTAGTTTTTGCCTTAAAGATAATAGTTTTAGAGTAAAAAAATAAAATATGCTACATTGTACTGTAAAGCGCTACTATAATTAAAAAAAATAGTTTCTTTATAGCTAGTTATGGAAGTTGTGCACTTACTAGGACTTACTAGTACTAACTAAATAACACCAATTAATTGTGATTTTCGTAAGAAAAACCATAAATAAGATGAATGTCTGTCTAACAAATTACGTTGTTTTAAACAATATTAAAAAATTGATACTCTTGCTTAATAACAGTCAAAAATTATTAATAATCATCAACAGTTATGCGGATTCACCATAAATGAAATTTACAAGTTCTCAGACCCAACTTTTAGGATAATTTTAGCTTAACATGGCGGCACATAGCGATACATGGCACGATATTTTATTTTTTTACACGGAAACTATTAACCTTAAGGAAAATACTAAAGAGACCAAAAAGTACCACTAAAAAATGAGCTTTACAACCCATATTTTTTTATGTTAACGTTCCATAGCGTTAAAAAGTTCTCATAAAAAAATCAAGCGGGTGGTGAATTTCATCCCCTTAGAGGGCGCTAGAAAATAAGTTCTTAACCAGTAGAAAAGACGTACAAAGTTTCAAATTCTACGGTTTATTTACAGCCGAAATACAAAATAAAATGTAAATTTTTTAAACAGTTGCGACCCTATGTGTAAACTTGTGTTATTTTTGTAAGTACTACATCCTAGTAAAGTTTCCCAATTAAAAACTAAACCACCCTGTATGTCTGTATTTTTCAAAAAACCCTAATAATCTCCCAAACTATTAATGTTAGGTATGGGACATATGTGGCATAGAGTCAAGGGGTTGGGGCGGCGGTAACTCGTCATTGGCAACGAGTAAGCGGTATCGTCACCTAACGAGATATTCTCTCACACCACCTCAAGACCCCAAGGGAGAATGCACAAGGGGCCCACTGGGGCCTAAGTGCGCGCGTAAAAATTACGCACTCCACCATCCATACATACATGGGATATAAAAGATGTAGAATGAGACACCGAAGACGACTAAGTAATAAAATATAGGGGGTGCCATTTAAAAAAATGAAGTTATGGTACTTTCAAATTTCGAAAAGAAATGTGCCAGTTAATGCCATAGTAAAGTGGCACCAAAACATACTCCATCATGTTGCTTAAGCATGTTCTGAATCCTAAAATGATATCCCAAAAATCGAGTGTTCTCTGATTTTTTTAACAAATGTCTGCTGGAGCAGATTTTTCTAAAAAAATTCGAATAACTCGAGAACAGCCGAATCAAATTGCAAAAAGTAAAGTTATTTATAAAGCTTGAAAACAGACAAATCCAAATATGTAAAAATATACAGGATGTTCCATTTAAAAAAATTAAATAGGTGGCGACTTCCGGTATAACCGGAAGTGCTAGAAATCTGAAAATATTTTAGTCAAAGAGATTTTGGCCAGAACCCCAGAAACGTTTAATGAGCGGTCTCGCTGAGACACCCTGTATTGCATCTGAACTGAAATTCACTGTATAAAAAACTTACTTCTGCTTTAGTTCGTTCATTTTTCTTTTTTCTCCTCTTCCGCGTACATTCCTCATCATCTTCGGATTCTGTACCGGAACGTGAAGGAGATCTTCGCCGTTTTCCATGTCTACGTTTATATTGTTTAATCATATCCAAATCGAAATTTCTTTCAGGCTCTTTATCCTGATAGTCAAAAAATCCAATTTCTTCCAATTTCTTTTCTGCATTATCATCATCCACCTCTATGTCGGACGATATTTTATTCTTTTTAGTCTCATTTACTACAAAACAAACTTTCTTTTTTTCTTTAATAAGTTTTTTAATAATATCTTCCATTCTCCGGGGTGTATTTTGATTAGATTGATGCGTAATTTCGGAAACATTAAAACCAAAGAAATCGGATTTTGATTGAGAAGAGGAGGAGTTTAGAGATGATTCATTTAAGTTTTCTTCACCATCAATTTCTGAGATGTTATTTATATTTTTTTCGTTGTCTATTTTAGGACCAAGTATGTTTCTTTTTGGAAGCCTTTTTGTTACAAAATTAATATTTTCTTCAAAACTATTCGAATTATTTGAAATATCAAAAATATTTCTTTTAGCAACATTAACATTTTTTCCAATAATTTTATTCTCTTTATTTTCCAAACTTCTTTTTCTTTCTGGACTAATAAAATCGTGTGCATCAAATAAACTCGAATGATGCATTGAATTCATTGAATCAAAATTTTCAAGATTTTTTCCACCAGAAACGTATTTTAAAATACTAGTTTGTTTTGGAATTGGTCTAACATTAAAATCACTCGTTGATTTAGAAAAGGATCGTTTTTCAATTAAAGTACTATCAAGAACCATGTCTTGATTATAATTCGGTAGAAGTGATCGTTTGTATTGAAGAAAATGTGGATTTCTTCTTACTTCTACGTTAAATCTCCATGGACTGGCTTCAACACTATTTGTTTTATCAACAATTGGAGACATTGGAGTATTTAACTGTTGAAAACGATTTATATTTGGCGTTTTATTTAACGAAATCTGATCAAAATCAGTTGTTGGTTCATATTCTTCATTATTTTCGGATTCAAAAATATTTGGAGAAGAATATCTTTCATGTAAAGGTGTTGATGTAAACTGTTTTTCATTTCCAATGTTTTTTGATATCAAAGGAACTATTTTTATACTTGAAATGATTTTAATTTTATCTATTTCAGGTGATTTTGCACTTTCTTTTTGGTTATTTGATAAATTGGATAAAACAATTTCTGTGGTTATATTTTTATTTTTAACATTTTTTATTTTCTTATCCTTTCGATTAATTTTAACCTTAGGTTTATTATTAATCTCAGCTTTTTTAACATTTCCTTTTTTATTTTTACCCATTTCTTTGTCATGTTTCTCATCTAACTTTCTAACCATTTCTTTCATATATCTTTCAAAAGGTAAACTTGTGTTTAAGGAATGCCCTTTCTTCTTTTTTCGTTTACTTGGTGATTTAGTATCATTTTCCAATGAAAAATCAAAGGCATAAACATCATTTTTCTTTTTCCCTTTTGGTTCTTTAAATTGAGACATTCGTCTATAAATTGGCCTTTTATCTATACTATTATCATTAGTTGATTTTGGTTCATCTTGCAATTCCTTTAATGATTCCTCAGCAAAGTTTTGTTTACTATTTCTTTTACGTAAATTTCTATGAACACCTTTATTATCAGAAGAACCTACCTTCTGTTTAAAATCACCTTTTTGTCTTTTTGTGGGAAAATCTGAAAGATTAGTTTGTCTCAAATTTCTATTTTTCTTGTTCTCTTTTGGTTCATTTAATGTCTCAACACTTTTTTGAATAAATTTATTGGTATTGGAAGAACCCATCATTTTATTCCTATTTTTATTCGTTACATTATCATCTTCTTGCATAATTTTAATACCAAACGTTTTTATTACATTTCTTTCAATTGATTTGTCTCTCTTTAATATAACTTGACATGGTTTGGGAGCATGAACTCTTTGTTGAGTATCTTTAGTAGTATCAGAACATAAATTTCCATAATTTTTTTCATTCTTATCATCTTTTTGTATAGTTTTGTTACCAATCATCTTAATAATTTTATTTTCAATTGATTTATCTTTATCTAAAACAACTTGGCACTTTCTTTGCCTTATATCATCTAAAACTTGTTTAGTCTGACTTTGGTAATGATTTTTCCCAGATTTTCTTCTTCTCATGTAACACTGACTACAAGAATTATCTTTTTCGGCTGTTTTACTCACATTTCCTCTACTTCTTGCACTAATAACATTAGTATAATCTTTTAAAGGCACTCGTTTTGTTTCTAAAGTTTGTTGCTTTTTAACTCTTAAATTATAACTCTTCATTTTATGATATAAAAACTAATTTATTAACCATGATATTTTCTTCTTTCGTGACACTTTTATGAATGCACAAACCATAACATTATAACATAAACACTTACAGAAGAATATAAAATATCCAGAATAAACATAGCAAACAAGAATAAACAAGGTTAAAACCGCTTTTTCAAAAATGCCAACCTAAACATTCTTTCATGAAATTTATTATACATCTTAAATATATTTCTAATAAATCTTTAATTTTTAATTACAATTGCCTTTAATTAAACATAATCATATTAGATGTTTACAACACATTAATAATAAAAGAAATTATAAATTAATAGTTACTTTAATTATTTAAGGTTGGTAGCAACAAAAATTTTTATTTTGACGTTTGTGTGATTGGTAAATTGACAGGTTATCTTAAAACTAAAAGAAATATTATATTTTTAATAATAAAATGGGAAGTTGTTTGAAAGCCGTAAAAGTTGGTTTTATGTGCAGACTTTGCTCAGAGCATAAAAAGAAAGTAATTCATCTATATGGAGTATCCGCAAGAAAAAAGAGCCTTTTGCACAAGATTAAACTCATACCATTAGATGTAAATCATCGGTTAAAATCTAAATTTTAATAAGTAACCTTTTCATTCGTTTTTTTTTTAGATACAAAAGTATGATAAGTTACCCAAAACAGTTTGTGAAATGTGTATAATTAAACTAGAAAAACAGTATGAGTTTGTACAAAAAATACTGAAAAATATGTATAATCAAAATAACGAAACTGATCGTCAGGTAAATTCATTTAATTGTTTTATTTGTAGTTTTAATTTGTTTATATGGAATTAATAATGTTTAGGAAATCATCCATTGAGGGGTACCACCATTGAATCTTCATTAAGCAACATAATTTATTTTTTTAAGCACATTTATTATTTTACTTAATAAAATTTCTAATTAATAGCGTTTATGTGTAAGGATATTAGTGTTATAAATAAAATTGCTACAAATAAATAAATAATTAGTTTGATTGCGAAGTCCAGATCAATCCTCAAAAAATTAAGAAAATAAAACAATTAATATTTCTTTAAAAGCACATTTTTAAAATAAAAATAAACAATACAATAGCACAGAAACTTATTTTCTAACAAATAATGAAATGATTTGTATAATATAAATAATACTAAATTATTGATATAAAATTGTAAATTTTGTGAGGTTATGTAACTGTCAAAATCTGTCAACACGATTTCTGTAAATAAATAGTATTCTTAAAAAGTATTTTTATGAAATAAAAACCAATACAATGGAACCAGAAGAGCATTTTGTAGCCCTTAAAGGTATAAAAAAACCTTTTTTTAATCCGTTTTAATCTTTATAATTTCCTTTCTAGTTATGAGGTTAACAAGACCTACCTTAGCAAGTCCTTTACCTGTAACCTCTGATACAAAAGATTTACCAGGAAACTTACTTAATGAAGCCTTACAAAAAGATTCCACAACAGTTCCAGGCACAGAAACTTTAGCAATAGGCCAGTTTCTATTATTGCCCCAAAATCCAGTTAACATTTATCTAGGTGAAACATTTTCAAGCTACATTTGTGTTTATAGTGAAACGGAGCAAATAGTTAATAATGTTGCGGTTAAAGTAAGTTTAATTAACTATAATATCAAAGAATAATTTAATAAATTTAAGGTGGATTTACAAACATCGTCACAACGATTGGCTTTATCATCAAATCCAGCTACTGCAGCTTTAAATCCCGATGATACAGTTAATGTTGTTATACATCATGAAGTTAAAGAAATTGGAGCCCATATGTATGGATTTAATTTGATAAAAGTGTTACTAAATTGACTTTTTTAGATTGGTTTGTGAGGTATCTTATCAAGCACCCAGTGGAGTTTCAATGTCTTTTAGAAAATTCTTTAAAATAATGGTTTTAAAACCCTTAGATGTCAAAACAAAATTTTATAACGCTGAAAATGATGATGTTTATTTAGAGGCTCAAGTACAAAATATAACTTCCGGTCCAATTTGTTTAGAGAGAGTCTCATTGGATGCTTCACATTTATTTAATGTTACATGCTTAAATATGACACCAAGTGGTAAAAGCGTTTTTGGAAGAACAACATTGTTGCAGCCCCAATCAATATGTCAATTTTTGTATTGTTTGACTCCAGATCCTAAATTATTTAATGATTTAAAATTGTTGAGTGGAGCTACTAATATCGGAAAGTTAGATATTATTTGGAGGAGTAATTTAGGAGAAAAAGGAAGATTACAAACAAGTCAATTGCAAAGGATGGGACCAGATTATCAAGATATAAGATTATCTGTAGTTCAGTTACCTAATTTTGTTATTTTAGAAAATCCTTTTGCTTTTAAATGTAGAATTTTGAATAATTCGTAAGTCTTCCTTTTTTTGTAATCAGATAATATTAATTTTAAATGTTACAGGGAAAGGAATGTGGAACTAATTTTAGCATTGGAAGATCGTGAAGGTATCACTTGGAGTGGAGTATCAGGGAAAACATTAAAATCAATTTCTGCACATTCAACCCTTGATATCCAATTAAAGGTTGTACCCTTAATTCCTGGATTAAGGACATTGGGTGGAATAAAATTGTATGATCCTCTATTGAAACGAAATTATCCTTATGAAGATTTAGGTCAGGTGTTTGTTATGTTAAAAAATGATTTAATATCTAAACATATGTGATATATTTGCTTGATTTTATAGATAATTATACAAATTAATAGCTGTTATATTCATGTTTGCTATATATAAATCAAAATAAAATTATTAAAAAGTAATATTTGAATGTGGCTGTTATTGTTTTATCATGTGAATGGTTGCGGTGGGACTTTACACACCATCTGTATATGTTTGTTTTTGTGTAATGGTTTGGTGGGTGTAGAGTCAGAGGAGGCAAGATAAATATACGTTTGTGGCAGAAGAATGGAATGCTAAAAGTTTTATTGATTACATCACATACACCTAGAATCTCCAAAACAGAATGGATGAGGTAAAGACTGAAGCAGAAACAGAAATGGAAACCAACCACAGACTACTATCAATGCAAAAAGTCAAGACCCCTCAGTTTAGAGATCGATATCTTCGCAACCGCTCGATAAAACTGAACATTTCTACGTAACATATGTTAATTTGAAAATTTTCGGATCCACGGTTTGCTTTTTATCACGAGTTAAATGAAAAAAGTACCCGATTTTTTACGGTACCGGCAACTTTGTCAACTTTACGATTTTTTTTCTCGAAAATTATCGTACGAAAAAGTTTTAATTTTGAACAGGTGGTAGCTTGATGTGTTCTTAATGAGTGGCGTATTTTATTTTTTTAGCTATCGTCTTTTGATTTTCCCCTAGAGGCCAAAATTGAAAATATCGTAAAACCAGCAAGTGCAATTATCTTGGTTATTATTATAGGTGGAGTATTATAACTAAGAGATTATACGGACACTGTTTTACAGAGAATTTGATGACGTAGTAAAAAAATTTTTTTCGGTTTTAGATTTTGAGGTGACAATTTTAGTTTTTTTTAATGGAAACAACCACTGATTATTCGTTTATTAAATTCGTTATTTTTTTTTGATTACAAAAATATGGGATTAGATAGGTCTATTTCTTATTGTTTTAGAATAAAACTTAAAATAACCTTTTTTTTAGTGTTGTCAAAGAAAGTAAATTTACAGTTTCCTGTAAATTACGGTACTATAACTAAAAATTATTCTACAAAAAATTTATTTTATATTCTAATATGTAACAATCTAACATGTTAAACTTTTCGTAATCCATCTTAAAAAATAGGATTTTTAATTTGACACTTCAGAAAATTTTTGAATACAAACAAATGTTGCTGTTTATTTGAATTCAAAAAAACTATATGAGCGCCGTCTATCAATAATTTATTAAGTCATTTAATAATAATATTAAATATTAATAAAAAATGTGAAATAATATCTATTCCAACTTTTGTTAAAACGAATATAAATTAAATAGTTCAACAAATGTATTTGTTTCAAATATCAGAAATGTTTTTTTAATTATTAGTTATAATTTACAGGAAACTGTACATGTTGAGGTCACACATCACTTATTCCTGTCATTTTTTTATGGGATTTTTAGTGGTTTTGGAAGAGTTATTCGCTCTTTTGAAAAGAGTCTATTCTTTGTGGTAGTAATTACCTCTTCTGGCAGCAACCAAAATTAATCAATTCAATATATTTTTATAAACAAAAAATTTATATTTGTATACCAAATTTGATATTTATAACGGTTTTATAGTATCAATATTAATTTCATTTAAAAATAAAAACTTAAAAATATCATCATAAAAATGTTTATAGTAATCACAAGCTCTTTGACAATCCGGGGTCCAATTTATTTCCAATAATTTAGGTTGCATATCTTCCCCATTCCAAGTTAACATTAAATCTGCTGCATAAACAGCTCGAGATTGGGGACTGTCACATATTCCACAAGGCGGATCCAGCATAACCGCACATTCAAAAGCTTCTTTCAACATACTAAAAATAGATTCTTCTACAATTTCCCATGGATTATTAGGATATTGCTCTTTCCAATGGCCTTTAAATTCCGAACAAAGCATGTGTTTTAATGTTGCAGTTTCAGTATAATTCATAACGGTATAATGTTTCTCATAATCATCGAATGACTTCAATTCGAATTCTTTATTAGCAAATCGTAAAAAAAATTCTTTATAAACAGCAACATCTAAAGGCTTAACTGATTTTAATAAAATTACATAACGAATATCAAATTTTACTTTTCCAACGTCATCTCGATCAAATAAAACGGGATTTTCAATGTATTTTTGTGCTATTTTTACTCTTGTTGTAGCTGATCTCATGATATAATTCAAATTATCTGTAATATGCATGTCTAAGCCCCTTGCTAAATTAAAAGGTTTAATAATCCAGAGATTATTAAGCCCTTTTTCTTGTCTTTTTTGATAATAAGATACAAATTGAACAATTTCAGTTTGTAAATTGTAAGTTGTAGGTAGCCAAACTGGTAAGCTTTCTAATCCATTAAAGTTCTTTTTATTTTTTCGGCGACATGTTATTGCTAATAAATCTTTTATCGTTATTATATACTCAAAAGGAAATTGATTTACAAATACTTCAGGTGTTTCACTTAATTGTTCGTAATATTTAAAATGTTTTGTGTACCAAAGAATATCAGCATCTTCTTCATTAATAACAAACTCAAATCTTGGATCATTTAAAGCTTTCTTAATAACATCATATTCGCAATACACTTTATATTTCTCTTTCTTTTCTGGGCGACTTTTAAAATTTTCTTTTATTGGTAAAGTCTCCAATATATGACCAGATGTAAAATATTTTTCATCTTGTGGAACAAAATCAAAACTATGCTTTGTTAAAGACGATTTTTTCCAAGGTAATGATAAAGCTGATCTTGTTAAAGAATCGGTAACACCTTCCAAGAAATCTCTTGTAATAACTTCTTCACATTTTAAATTTTTTAAAGGATAAATCAAACATACACCTAATTGTTCTGGAATATAAATGAATGGAACCACTCGAAAATTAGGATCATCATTATGATGAATAGCAGAACCTACTTCATCCATAATAAACCAAACTGCCAATCGATCCTCAATTTGTGTGGCACTTCCTATGCAATAAAAACAACAATATTTCCACATTTCATTAAAAATTTTCTGCGTCAAAACGTCCCTTTCCTCCTCTGGATCACATCCCACAATAGAAGCCATGCGTTGTTTCAAAGAATCGTCAACTTCTAATTGTTTCAAAGCATCCTCCATACGAAAAGTCCAAGCATGATCAACAAGATATACATGTTGCTTATCATCAGCTTGTATACCTTCTTCAACGTTTATTTGTAACGCCCAAGCGGGATCCTCAGGATTTCGCTGAACATCATACTCAATTTGCATTAGAGAAAAAATATTTCCAGCATCAAAAGTTTGTCCGATTAATTTCGTATAAATCGTTTCCCAGTAAATTTCCGGTATCGCAGAATGTACAAGTTGAGGGCGGTGATCGTTTAAAAACTCTTGATACGTTATTTTTGTCATTGTTAGTATAAAAATTTTGAATTACGCGTGACAAAACTTGCGGTTTTGACACAATAACATAACCTCAATTTAATTTTTGTCTAAAATAAATATAATTTGTGATTTATATTTTATTTTTGGATTTTATGTTGAAAATAGAACATAAACATTCAATATAAACGTTAATTTTAACAAATTTCGTTTTAAAATTGAAAGGAGCTAAAATTTAAATAATGCAAATTTTAACATTATTATTGATATAAAATACAATTTTACTATTATGTGTTATATATAGAACATAAATTGTATTAAATGGTGATTTCTAATGATTTCGTGTTTTAAAATTGCGATACATTGTGATTTAAGTAATGAAAATTTGAATATAATAAATAATCTTTTAAGATATGCAACCCAACTGTAATAGAAACAGCACGTTTTTGTGTATTTTTGCAGGATTAATGGCAGGTTTTTATGCGAATTAAAGCAATTTGTTACAGAGAGTACCACTAAAAATGGGCGTAAGTAATCAATAAATTGTAATAAATATGCAATAAATGATCACAATTATAAGATATCAATAATTTTTAGCGCAAAAGCAATAATAAAGGTAAAGAAAGAAGAGAAGAAAAGCGTTTGGCCCAAAAAGAACATCAAGCTAAATTAGCACGATCTTTAGAAGCTATACAAAAAGCAAATCAATTAGAAGATCCCATGGAACCTTTTCCAGCTTTTAGAAAGTTTCAAAAAAACGGGATTGATGCCGAACTTTATGTTAAAAGAGTTATTCATTTGGACGAAGCTATAAAAGAGTGGATTTTTGATTTGGAAAAGCGAAATATGAAGCAAAAGTAATTAATATTATTTAATTTATATATTATTTACTTCTAAATGTTTTAGATATGATGATTGCTCGTGGGGTTGGCGAGATTGGAAGAAAAAGGACGAATTAATGCATGATTCCGCTTGGTATTTAATTGCACAAACTATAGATGGGGTTAAGATCGGATTTTCACATTTTCGTTTTGATTTAGAATCGGAAATTGAAGTTCTTTATTGGTAATTAATCAAACTGTCAGAAGAATTTTTTATTTAATCATTTTTATTTAAAATTTTAGTTATGAATTGCAAATTGAACCTGAATATGTTGGAAAAGGTTTAGGGAAGTTTATGATGCAAATATTAGAATTGATAGCTTTTACAAATAATATGCGTAAAGTTGTTTTAACAATTCTTAAAAACAATCCTTGTAGCAACTTTTTTAAGCACATAAAGTAAGTTTTGTTATAGTTGTCTTTTAATATGTTACATATTTGGTTCTTTTAGATATCAAATAGATGAACCATCACTTTGCCATAAAGATGAAGCTTCTCATCCCTATGAGATTCTTAGTAAAGTTAATAAAAAGCTGATTTCAACTGAGGAGATGGAGGCACATCACGGCCATGGACACTCTCACAATCAATCTCATTGTTGTCCTGGACATCACTAATTATAATAAATTGGCATTTTCTTATTTTTTCTGATATCTTACAAGTATTAAGTCCATACATTTTTTTAATTTAATAAGTACGCTTTAATTTTTCGATTATTATATATTTAAATAAATGAAGGAAATTTCATTTCAAAATAAAGAATTATATATAAATTAATTTTATTTTATTTTTATAGAGTTACGTTCCTTATTATGAAGTAAAAGATTTTCATTAAAAGATGGTGCTCTTTATGAAATTCAAAAATTTTATTTTCCTTTTTTTTTTGAGATACATTTATTAATAAAGTTTACAATCTTGTTATATAAGTACGGAAACGGATACAAAATATTTAGGACGCACCTGAATCGTGTTGGAATAAGTGAGGTATGAACTTCACACTTTCTGAACTCAAGACTTTGACGAAAGCGTTTTATTACGTATTATTCTGCAATAACGACGTTATTACTTTATAAAACCAGTTTTTATTTTTTACTTAATCGTCTCGAAATCTTTAAATTGAAATTTCTACATTTAATTGATTTTGTAATCATTGGTAATTTCCCACTTTGTTCAAAAACAAGGAAAAAAAATCACGAATTTTCAAACAAAATAAATTAATAACATTAAAAGGGATGTTTTATGGAAATTTCAGACTCAAACACAAAATTAGCTAATTGGTGTGTATCTTTTACGTTTACTATTACTTTTGATTTTACTCTTCTAAGTGAAATAAATCATCAAAATTGTGTGAAATTTGTACTATCATTCTTGAGTAATTCGTGATACTTTATGAGAAATTTAAAAAGAAGGAAAAAAATTGTCAATTATGCTTATACAATTACGTCAGAAAACGCCCGGCAAATTTATATCCGTCGAATATATATGGGTGCTATTAAAAATTTTGAATAATTCTTGCAAATTTATTCCAGCGAAACCATTAATGGAGATAAAGGCTGTGTGTATTTTTTTTCATTCTTTTTGGTTTTATTTTTCTTCGTCCAACTCGTTACCGTTAGGATTCGTATACCTGGTTTGGGTGACACTTTTTTTTAAATATGTGGTTTGTACATAAGTTATACCATCATCTCGCCTTCTTACATAATAGTATTAATCAAATCGTACATAGAAACATAAAAAAGGAAAGATTTTTTGTAATGTATATGTTATAATGCTAATTTTCGGCCTATTTTTTCGTTTTGATATGGTTCGATTAGTGATTCTGTAAGCAATCGTTAATTTAACAAAAAAAGTATATATAAGAAAACCTTGAACTTGTACACCTGGAGACCAGAAACTTCTTTTTTGATTAAAAAAATCGCTAATTATCATCTGTTCCACAGAAATCCGGTATCGGTATAAATTAAAATTGGGAAACTCACCTTTATTGTCGTTATTTATCCTTTTATTCTGCAAATTGGTTGAAAATCGGTTAAAATTTATTAAAATCAATAAATTATTTAAATTCGATCGATTTCTAACCTAGAAATTTTCAATTTTGACGTTAAACGTCAAAAATCATTACATTTAATATTTTACATGTCTCCTTATCTTTAACTCGTGCATTTAGACGGCGAAAACTAAATTAAACATAAAAATTGATTTAATCGAAATATAAAAAACATTAATTTACTTCAACGTTATAGATTTGTGCCCAAAATCGTTTTCTAACCTAAAAATTGAGACAAACTTTGACGTTTAAACGTCAAACATGATGTATGTGTATGTAGTGTCATGTGGGGGTGAATTTCATAGCACTTAGGCCCCAGCGGGTCCTCTGTACATCCCCTTTAATTTACAGTTCATTCAGAGGTCAGAAAACCAGTAAAAGGTTTTAATGAACATTAATGTACAGGGAATTTCATATAATTCGCAATATATGAATGCAGTAACCATAGTTATGTAACTACTATGCACTTGCACTGTCCCATATAAAATGCAACATTTTTAGCTTAATAGTACAGGCATTGGGTAGTTTTGCAAAGAAGGAGTTTTGCTTGGAAAAAGGTAACATCTTTATGATAACCCTGAGTTATCGGCCGTCTTAAGAGACGCTCAAACAAGAACTAGCAACCCTAGCAACATTCGGGTTTAGCCACACGTCTCTCAAGACGGCTAAATCCGAATGATTCTAGTTCTAGGTCTTGTGTTGGTTCTAGTGATAGTGTAAAACTAGAACTAACACTAGAGCTAGAACTAGAAACATTCGGATTTAGCCGCACCTCTCTCAAGATGGCTAAACCCGAATGATTCTAGTTCTAGGTCTTGTGTTAGTTCTAGTGATAGTGGCAGTGTAAAACTAGAACTAACACTAGACCTAGAAACATGCCCATTTTTATCAAATATGATTTAAAAAGAATTTAACCTCAAAAAATCGAATTATCATTATTAAAATTGTTGTTTAAATAGAGAGTAATGTGTTAAATTTAAAAAATAATTAAGAAGTTTGTGGAAAATATTAGAATTTTAAGAGTTATAAAAAGGTCAGGGCAATTAGCACAACATCGTAATCATAAATTTTGATAATTTTATTATTTTTTTGTTTGAAAGCCTACCTTTACTTGTAGTCTAATAGATCAATTAAAATTCAGCATGACAAATTAACTAAAACTCGAAAAAAAAAGGCGATTATATGTGAATTCGTGGAAAAACACAATAAATATGTTAATACTTATAATATATTTTTCTAAGAAAATATCTTTATCTAAAAAAAGATTTAAACATCTAAAAAAATGTATATAGATATTTTTTATTTCTTTTTTTGTTCTTTAAGTTTTTATTTTAATTGTTTATAAGTATTTAAAGTTTTAAAGTCTTAATTAGTAGATAGTTTGGAATCAAAAAAAGGAAATTAAGTATATCATTAAGATTTTGTTATAAAAACTAGTCTTATTATAGATTTTTATTAGCAGTTTACTAACGATCTGTTTTGTTCGCCACATTAAATCGAAACGGACAAACCACCTGGCTTTATAAAAAAAGAAAAAAAATCTAATAGTCGATAATTGAAATTTATTATGATAGATGATTTTTCGAGTCACTATTACGTAAATATCTCGAATCAACCAGACATTCCGGCAGACAGCGATAGTGTTTTACGATTTATAAATAAAAAAAAACTTAAAGTCCAAAGATTGGCCAAGAAGTTGCAATTAATTATTTCAACAAAAAAAAATTGTCTCCTTTTAATGATTTTCTTTTTTTTATTTATGTATATTGTTTCATTTTGCGACAAGAATATATCTTTAAAAAGATTAAAAAGCTTTGTCCACCTGGTCGACCGGTTTTCTTCTAAAAAAAGTCCCAAACTACAAAAAAGCTCAAACTCACACAGAACATCTTTTTAATGGTTTTTGTTGGCGACAATTTGCCAGAGGTGACTTATTAACACTGATGGTGGTTCAGGGTTCAGTGAATTTAATACCTTGGACACATGCTGCTTTTCAATTTTCGTTTAAATTGCCTTTAACAAAAAAGAAATAAATAATAAATTAATTTTTTTCTTCACTATTCTTTAAATCTTGTTGTTATTTAACGGAAAATAACTGAAAATCTAAATACGAAAATAATCTTTTTCATAGGAGAATTTATTTTCTTAAGGTTTGACGTTTGTCTTTTTTTTTATATAATTTTTGACCCTCAATCAGAAAAAAAAACAACCTCAAGCTAAATTTGAATTTTATAGTGATGGCATAACGTTGCTCAAACACCAATGGATTGCCTACTTGAAGATAGAATTTAAGAACATTTAAGTAATCACCGATGAGGCTTGAGATTTGGGCTTACACAATTTCTTTGTATTGTATAGGAGGGTATAAATACTTTTGTGAGTCACTGTACATTAGTTGATTATTGCACCACCTGTCAACTTATTTTTTATTTTATTCTTATTACAAACTCAAAAAAATGAATACACCTCTTTATTGCTGTCGACCCCTAAATTGTATTACAAATTTAAACACATTACAGAAAATAACGTTATTTTGATCAATAAAGCAGAATTGTATAAAAAGATGACTTTTAATTGTATTTGTCCAGATAATTGGGGTTGTCATGGCAACACATGTTTCGTTAATGGAACTATTACCTACATTACAGTTTTCTATATTATCAACTTTCTGCTGTCATTGTCAAAATTAAGTTGAAATGTCAGTGTTACGGCTTTTTAAATTTTCAACGTATTTTAACGGTGATTGGGGCTCATGGAGAAGTTTTTTCGTATCGGTAAGTACTTTTTGTGATATTTTATAATATTACCATAATCTTACAATGATATAAAAACCGTAATTACAAAAAATTAAAAATCGTTTTATTATGCGATTTTGTCTGATTTACATATTTCAGTTTTTCCTGAAACCTGTTTATTCTAAGAATCATGTTAAACGATTATTGGCATGTATGCCTGTGTTAATAGCGTAACAATTATTTGAAAAACCTTCGTACCGATTTCCTCATGTAAATGTTTACTTTTTACCTCATATAAATATGTACTTATAAGTTGTAAATAGCCCGGGAAATATATGAAACGGTTAAAAAAAAATTGAAACGTACAATTTATTATCGGCGAAAAGAAATTGCGTTAATGGTTTTATTATAATATAAAAGCGACAAAAAATGTAACAAAAGATCTGAGAGATTAATTTAAATTTTATAACCATCTAATCGCTTTAATCGTATTTTTTTTTAATATGATGACAAAGAGAATCAAAACATTTACTCGTATTTCACACCTTAAAACTTGAAAAACCACAACATAAAGATTTCTTAAGAATTAACAACGATTCTTAAGAAATCTATATTATCTTCAAAAATCGTCATATAGCGTCATTTAGAAAGTCAATTTTAAAGTTACATTATTTAAACGGACATAGAAATATTTACGACTTTCGATCGAATAAACAACAACGGTATCCGATTTCCTTGATCTTTCCTTAAACGAGACGAAACGGTAGCAATAAAAAAAATCTCGTCAATTGCCTGTCGCATTAAAAAGTATTAGAAAACCTGTTTATCGGTTAATCAGACTGATTTAGGTTTGACTTTTACTATGCTACAAATCTTAATTATGAACTGATAAACTTAAACTTCCTGACTTTAGATCAATTAAATCAAATCTAATTTATGAAAGGCGTAATGAAATTTCGAAAGTTAATAATGAACTATATATTAAAAATTGACAACAATAAAGTTTAGTATTTCCCACGCGAATTTTAATTGCCACTAGGGGTTTTTTGAAGGAATTGTCCGTCTGTGAATCGGTTACATAAGAATCAATCAGCATGATCGATTCAGTTTTCTGTCCGAAGCCGTGCGATTCGGGTCAATATTATTCCAGACGGATTACAATCTCAATATAGGCGAAGAAACAACGATGTGATGTTTCGCAAATCCGCGGTTTCTTTATTGTTTAATATCAACTCTACCTTAACTTATAACGAAACTTATAATTAACCAAATGGAGTTGCAAATTGAAACCTTTAAAGTTGATCATATTGATCGATAACATTATTATTAATCAATCTAAACAGAAAAAACACTTAAAACTTTATTACAAAACTTAAAAAAAAAAAATTTTAACATACCCTTTTAAAGTAGGGTTTACAAAATGATTTTTCGGCGTAAATAAAGTAATCATTTACGGATTGCAGTAATGTTTTCGCTCGATTATTTCTGTAAAAATTGACGAAGCGAATCTTTGTCCAATTGAGTACTTAAAGAGATAAAAAAAAATATCGCGAGTCGGATATTAGATGATTTGCAAAGAAAACGTTTTGCATAATACTCTCCGATTACGTAATTTCCGTCTTAATTACAAGATTTTACCTTAGCGTTAACCGATTCGCTAATTGTCTGTCAATTTCTCGACGGCTAGAACGAAAAAGAAATGTAAAACTTCACACTTTCCAGCGCTTTGTTTACAATTAACACTTAGTTTTTTTAAAATTTTTATTTGAAATCTATAAAACTCTAAAATAACTTTGGATTTATTTTTTCTTATTTCTTGACAGCCCTTTACTAAAACGCTTTAGATGATATGTTATTATTAATAATACTTTTACAATATAATATATAAACATGTAAAGTTAAGCTTTTGTACCCGCAGTTATTAATTAATGTCAATAGTGAATGTTTTTATTAAAATCTAGGCAAATATCCCCTGATTGATAACACAGAACTGCAAGGTTTTTGTCGGTGGGCTGAGATTCATATCCGAAGTAATTTACTGCGTAAAATCTGACTCTGAGCTCAGAATTGGAGCATCATGTCAAGATTTTGATATATTTGAGGTTATGTACAAGAAAAATGAGTTTTTTGACTACTTTTGAAGTTATGTGTGAGACGCACAATATTTTTTTGCTTTATTGTATGTATTACATCATTCAGTACAATCTTTACCCTTTCAAATGCGCAATTGAATGAGACTGTACTATTTTTCCTTCATAAGTTATGACCCTTGAAGTTGAACATTGAACACTAATGTATACTGTTAAATCCTGAGCAGTTTTTCATTAGTCGTTTTCACGTCTATATTTGCAACCAATTTTCTTCGCAAGATTTTATCAGCCGTTCTTATGGTATCTCTTCTTCACTATGTGCTCCCGAAAGTGTTTGAAGTTTTTGTCACATTTACGGTCGTTTTACGTTTGCCAAGCAAAAAATTTATATTAATAATAATATCAAAATGTTTTACCAAAATTACTTCAAGATACCAATTTGCAATCAAGATACATCTTGGACTCCACATATAGCTTCTACTATAATGTCTTTCATAACACCGATGCTTGGGCGTGAATCCCCCAATTACACCAAATTTGGGGAAGAAAACTAATGATGATATCGGCTGAAGACATCGATTCACTTGATTATGAAGATTCTAATTTTCTGCCGGTTCTGTATGATCAGGCTGCACTAAATGATTTGGTGAGGGATTTAGGTTTACCTAAAGATAAATCTGAACTGTTAGGTTCACGACTAAAAGTGAAATTTTCTGGCTCCTGGAACCACCCCGCATCTCACAATACTTATCCATATGTTGGGTTCCAACAAAATTTATTTTTATCATTTTTTGACATATTTTGATTTAAAATCATAATTAATCATTAATGTAACATTCTGTTCGTTATATTTTTAATCATTATATCAAAGTCATTTCTGAAATCATCACACGATTGTGTATACGTGAATATCGCAATGAATAGTTAATTAATCACTTAAAAAAAATCTGCAACATTTTTGCAATTGATCAGAAAATTTTTTGAAGGTATCGTAATTGATTTCGCAATAAATCTTTCAATACCTACATTCTTTTATTATTTTTTGGGATATCTAAAATGTTAATTAATAACTAACTGATGAAGTTATAGTTGTGATATATCTCTTGTTCACCTTATATTAAAAAAATAAGATGGAAAAATATCTTAATAAATTTTTTGAATGATTTTTATCTTTATCCCCTTTTGACGTCATTCGCCTGAACAAAAACTTTTCAAAAAAAATATATATAAAACGGATAAAAAACTAAATAAATACAACGGAAGAAAAAAATAAGACTTCGTCAACACGAAATCCTATGTGTGTGTGCAAAAAGAACGCGTCACCTTCGAACCTTACCTCTCTGGATACACGCAGCATGTTATAAAGAGCGACGCCGTCCGAAAACGACGTTCAGTTCGACGACGTCCGGCAACTCCGTGGCATGTCCTTTACCAAACACCACCACCTTACTCGATTTCCTTTCACTTAACACTTTCCCTCTCTTTAGTTCTTTGCGCGCGCGGACAATTTTTTTCTTCTCTTCTTTTATTCCGACACCATACAGAAGTAGTACTAGTAGTAGAAGAGATTGAAGAGAGAAGTGCGCGCGCATTATTACTAATATTAATAACTACAAAAAAAACTTTAGTGTTTCTTAAAAGTTAAAATTCCAATTTTTCCTGATTGTTTTAATCGGTTTTTGTAGAAAAAAAGATGAGGAAGGAGCGACGCGGAGAACTTTTTCATATTTTTAATCGCGATCGATAAAAGAAAAAAATTAATTATTTAGATTTTTGTAAATTAAAATATTTAGTTGGTGGTTGTGTTCTTATGTTGACCTTTTAGTTTTTTTTTCGTTTTGCCTTAATAATAATCGCGAAGGAAAAAGAATACATTTTTTTTAAGAAGTGCTTCTTAAAGGGATCAACAAAAGGATTTTTATTATTTTTAAGGTAATAGTCAATTTTCTTATCTTTAAATTAAGAATCTTATTTATTGGTTGTTTTAAAATCGGTTATTGTATAATACATAATTTTTGAAAGTGAATTTCGAGTGAAAGGGAAAACGAGAACGTAACGGGTCGGGTTCAGCACAGCGCAACCGAATACAACACAACTTAAAGGAAATAAAAGAACTGTTGTTTCATAAAATGTAAAGAGCACAAAGAAATTTTTGTTTAATATTATAACGTGCCAAAATGTTTCTAGAAATGTTAAAAAATTGTTAAAAAAAAACAAAAATTGAATTAAAATGAAACAACTAATAGGATTTGTTAATATTTGCTTAAAATTGTCTAATTTTGTGTTAATTGATACAAATCAGAATCAAAATGTTTTAAAGGTGTTAAACTTTCTGAATCAAAGTTTATTCTTAGTCTTTGAAAATCAATAGCTTTAGCAGAATCTTAATAGTTTAATAACAGGGAATTGTTAAAAAATCGGTATTTACAAATTGGCATAAAAGCTCTATAGGCATTTGGTTTGTTTATAATCCTTTGATGATGTTTCATGAGCGGTATGGCAAGTGGCAAACTACATCATGAGTAATATCTTGCAATTGAGATACAAAGAACTGGGTTATTATGCCACGATAAAGTTCACCTTTAATCCCACATTATTGCCTAGTTTTGAAATAAAAAAGATCATATGATTCCTACAGACTACATTGCATACCAAGAAATGGTAGATAGAGAATGCGACATAGATTTTCTTAGTTATAAATGTGATGTTGCTGGACATGAAGCTATTGAGTTCAAATTGGACTCTGTAAATAAAATAAGTACCAAATTTATGGTCTGACTTCTAAAAGCAATGGACTAAATCGTGTCAAACTTTGCATTATGCATGGTATAACTCTGAAACTTTGTCCCTGTAATGGAACTCTTCCCATTAGGCACGGTGTGCTTGTTTACTGCTTTTTCACGACTTTATCTTCATCTATATTTGTTTTCTGGAATCTGCCCACATCTTTTCTACTTAATTTTGCCTTTGACTTTATTTCCAATTTATGCCATTTTTAATTTACGTTTTAGGACGTCTCTAGTTGCCTTCTTATGTACTTTGTGCGTAGAGCACTCTTATATTTTCTATTGTATCTAAGTTATATATTGTTTGTTGACTCCTTTGTTGGCTTTTTGGTCAAATTGGCTGGACCCAGAGTACGATTTGTAATAATCTTTGCTTTTTTAATTACGTAAGTATGATTTCCATTTGCTCTTGTACCGTTGGGTTTCCTATTCTTAATCTGGAGCTTATACACATCCAGTTTCTATGCTCTGCGAGTGTTGCACCAAACTTAAGCATATATCGCTTATCAAGTCTCTTAATATCATTTTTTCTCCATTATCTTTGCCCTGTTTCTCTGTTATCTCTGTTTCCTTCTCTGTGACAGTAATGATATTTCACAGACCAAGTATCTTTGTAATCCACCTAGTATGAAAATCTGCAAGAATACTTAAGAATTGATTTCAAATATTTTTATTTAAAATCGCCAAAAAATAGAATTCATTAAAATAATAATTTTAGTCCCTCTATAACTTATTTTTATTTTTAAATATGTATTTCTATGTTCTTTTAATCTTTTCACAATGAGAATCGTTCGCTGGTGGTCATACTCACTTTCTATCGACCGAACACGTTTTCCAGTAGTATTTAGTATCAGATACGGGTCGTGATCTTCTTCTTCTACTATGAGTATTGTGGTGAAAATTTTCGCGGTGAGATCGAACTGCTGTCGAGCTAAAGAATGAATGGAATATATCTATCTTCACCTTGGTCGGTAAATACATCTGATTTCTTTTTTTCTTATTTTCAAAATAGTTTTTTAATTTTCGACGCTGTTTTTAGATTTTTGTGTTCTATTGAAACTCCAAGTTTATTATTGTTTTAGTCTTATGGATTGTATGGGTAATTCTACATAGATTTGAGTAGTTTCGGTAATAATCGTAAATCGAGAGCCATAAACTTTTTTTGAAATACATTTATTAGTATAATTAAAATTTTTTATTAGTATTTGTTTCTAACTGGATTCAGAAGAAGTTGTGTTACCTTCAAAAGGTTTGTACTCTTAATTGAAGGAATGATAAAATCATCTTTTAAAACCACACCTTTCTTTACAAATCGTTCAATTCCTATTGTTTTATTCAACAGTTTACCTCCAACTGTGTTGGATTAAACTTTTATGATTTTTTCTTTTATTTGCTTTATTTTTATTTTTATCCAATTTGAAACGTAGGATGTATTAAATTACGGTAAGATTTGGTAATTTTTACATTTTTATACTTCATTAATTCACATTACATTTCTACTTTTAATTAATATTATCTTATTTTATATTTATTCAGCGAAGCGTTAAAACAAAAATTGTTATTCAATAAAATAGAAAGGTGTATTACCAGAAATTGTATAACAACAATTATTTAACTTTAAAGAACTAAAGATAATACCTTTTGTTCACATTTAGAAAAAAAATTCCTTCTCTTTTCTTTTGTAAGAATAATTATTTCAATTAACTATGTACATTTACATAAATTAACGGTGTATTTTTAAATTAGTAACTCTGGTTCATGAAACAACGCTTTTCTTTATCTCATCTTTAAAGGGATGTGTGATTTCTTATCAGTTTAGTGAGTCTTACGTTGCGGGTCAAACCAATGGTGTGCATAAAAAGCATGTTTACGATCCTTGCAGATTTTATTGCAAAAAATTAAAGAATTGTTACCCTTACGACTTTCCGGCATTCGAAAGAAACTAACTAAATCAATAGTTATAATTCAAGCATTGATTTTAATCTGTTTAGAAATGTCTGGTTCTTATTGCAAGAGGATTTTGATGTTAATAAACTCGTTGATGGAAATTTGTTACACCATGCCTTGTCAAATATGTTTTAACTCTATGATTGAAAAATATTTCACATAAACATTACCTTTTATCATGGTCCAAATGTAATAGGTCTTGTACAAATTGGATTTGATAAGAATGTTCTCTAATAATCTTGCTGGTAGTACTCCTAGAGTTTTGTTTACCATGTCGTGGATAAATTGTTCATGTGCGATTCTTTGTAAAGTTGAGAGTAAATATAGTACTAAACAATTAAACATTTCCAAGCCTATTATTCAGGGGGTGCACCGCGACCTATAAAATCTATTGTAACTTAAGCCCTCTGTAACTTGACTGTAGACCGCTCCAATTACTTCGTTTAGTATTTTTCTTATTTTTAATGTTTCCTGGTTTCATTTAGTGATAATTAAGTCCTATGAATGTGAATAGCGTCAAGACAACTCAGAAAATGTAACAATGGTCAATTGTGTAGGATTTTTTTTCGTTTTAGTTGGTAAACTTGTGACCCATATAAAGCAGAAAAATGCCATAAAAATAGTTCACACCTTGTTAGCCATAATTTACAAGTGTTGTGGAGAATTTTAAAATGTACCAATTAATTTACCAATTATTTCCATAAGATAGAAAAATATTGTGTTAAACGATTAATCTGCAGCTTCTTGTGATCACAATTTTTTTTGATATAGAAAGATAAGAAAGTTTGATAGCATTGAGTGAAATCAGGGAGTTTTTGTGGGATAGATGATGGGGAAGATTTTAAGGAAAGCATTAATGATGTTAGTTATTACGTCAATTTTTTTAATTCTTGGAAAAGAAAAATTTTATTATTGAGTAATATAAGAATTTATGATGATAGTTATAAAACTTTCTTTTTCTGTTCTTTTTCTTATGTAAATCATTGTTTCCATTTGTGTCTATTTCTTATGGTTGTAAGTTATTTTAATATTAATTTTAATATAAAATATAAATTCAATGGAATATTATAAAAAAAGTGTTTAAGTTAGGTGCAGTTTTATGATGATTACGTTCAATTCTCATCGTAACACGCTTCTTCGTTGTAACCTTTGCAATTGGTTACATAAATTCCGAAGGACCGCACGTTTTACTTGTACTCTCAACTTCAAAATTCAATTTATAACTTTTACACGTCGATAAAAAATGAACTGTAAACTTAAAGAGTTTACAGTTTTTCTATTGTAAATAATTTCCTGTCTAGAAAAAAAATCCTTCACCTTTATTCCTTTTTGAATAATCTAAAAAACTTTAAAGAAAAAAATAATAAAATAAAAGTAACAAAACCGAAAAAAAGGAGCAGTCGTTAAATTCGGATTTAAATTCGAATTAAAAAATGCGCATACATTTATAAGACAAATCAGGCAAAGGTCAACAAAAACCTCTTCTTCCTAAAAATAATAAAAAGAAACTGGGAGAGAGTTTGATTTTTTGTTCACCTTTACCAGAGAACTTGAATGGATCTTTTTAGTATTTCTTCCTGAAACTTAAAGAAAGATTTCACCTCTTCACGTTTTTCCTTAATCGTATTTTTCAATCTCAACATCGCGTTTTAAACAAAAAAAAACGTTATCGCAAAAATTAACCATTGATTCTCTTAATAAATTGGCCATTTAATTTGCATATCTTAAAATAAGCTTTTTCTTTTGCATCATTTCAAAAAAACGGAAATGTCAAGAATATTTTTGTATTATTTTTTGTTTCATCCATAAATTAAATTATAAAAGAGACTTTAAAAAAAAATCTTATCTAACAATGATGTTTAGAAAAAGGTGTTATTTTATTCTCAGGAGGACTGACAACTTTTAACAGTCGATTGAGTTTTGCTAACAACCAGGAAACGTTTTATAAAGTTTACGAAAGGCGATGAAATGCACCGTTTTACTATTCTTGGTGATTTTGAAAACGTTTACTCAATCGGTTTCACTTAAAAGAGAACTTAGAATACATCGTTTATTTTATGTTTCAATTAAGTTTTATTTTATTTTGATAAATTCAACATATATATTATTTTCAACATTAAAGTAAAATGTTAATTGTTATTGTTATTAATTTTGGGATACTTTATCAGTTATTTTCTTCCTTTGTTATGTAATCTTATCTTAAGAATTCTTCGAAAGCATTAATAGTTTCGAGTGATTAATGAGTGAGGAAGCGTCTTTAAATTGGAGGGAAAGGAAAAAGGAAATGAGTCAAATGAGAAATAGACAGTGAAGGAAATGATGTTGCTTTAACTTTTTAGAAAGTGATTATGGTTGAATTGAAATAATTGTTATAAGATTTTTGTTATTTAATTTGATTCAACAATATAAACACGATGATTAATTTTAACTGTTTATTTTATTCTTAATAAAAATAAATTAAACATTTAATGAAAATACTAATGACATCATCTTGGTTCAACGATCTCTATAAAAATAAATTAAAATCTTATAATTAATGTTTTTTAGAATTTACAAGTTTTTTCAAGGTTTTTGTCAACTTTGACTTAAAAAAAAACATTTTATTCTTTTCATTTAAAACTTAAAACTAAAGAATTTTTGTAAATCACTAATAACAATAACAAATTTTTTTCTTCTTACTCAAAAACCCACACACGTTGTTTATTTTTATTTTTTTCCACCTAGTATTTGTTTAACATAACGAATCGATGTAGAAAACCGTTGTTCGGCTATTAAATTTCAAAAAAAAATCTTTCTGTATAAAAATATCCGTGATCTCGCAATCTTTTATTCGAGGTCAGAAAAAATTAACGAAAAATCAGGTTCAACATAAAAATTTTTCATAATGTTATCAAATAACTAACAAAAATTGTTCTGGGTGTTCTAAAAATCGGTAAAAAATTCGGTGTGGTATAAGAAAAAGGTAACCTAAAGAAAGTGTTTCTTTTTTTTATTTAAACTTTCACTAAAACGAAACGAAACGAACCTCTCTTCATGTCTTCGTCTAATTTCTTTAATAGAGTGACCTTTCTATCAACTGGACCCCTAATTGATAACTGTTAAAAAAGAGAAGAAGAAAAATCTTTTGTAACCATACGATTTTCTGCTGTTGAGTGCCGAGAAGCCGACTTTCTGCAAAAACCAGTTTCCAATCTACAACTAAGCTATGTCTATTTTCTGTATATATGTTTAGTGTGCATTATGGGTAAAAGTTATGTAGCCAGAGTACGAGTTTGTGAAAGTTGTTAACTTTAAACAATACTATTTAGAACGTTTTTTACCCGTATTATTGTTGAGTTAAAATTATTGATTACTAATGAATAAAGATCACATTTAAATGAAGTCTTTTTAAGATCTTTTGTGTAATAAAAACCATAACGATGATGAGAGCTTTACTTTCACTTCTCGAAGTTATGCCCACCAGCTGATGTTTTAACTTTTCTTTTATTAATTTATTTTTATTTTTTATTTTAGGACCAAAATGGCAACGTCGACGCTATTTGGACATGTTTTGGTGCTGATCGTGACGTGGATCTTAACTGCGTGTGCTTATGATGTAAGTAAATTTAGATAGTTAATAATTATAAAAGGTTTTATAAAAAAACTTTCATTCGTAAAGGCATCAATTACTGTTAGGTAATCTATCTAATCTTCTAACGAAATAAAAACATATTCTTTCCATGACAATTTAGTATCAAAGTGGATTCCGAATTATTTAATTAACCTACTTAGTATCATTTAAAGTTTGTAGTCTTAATGTTAAGACGATTTTCGGCAAAACATTTGTATTCGTCATTTTATATCATTCATTACTAAAGTCAGAAAACAGAACAATTTTATTGTTGATATTGTTTTGTGTCAATAGGTCATTAATAAATAAAAATGAAATAGGCCCAAGGACTGATCGTTGTGGGACTCTGTACTGTATAAGCAGTTTCAATATACTATATTGAATGTTTCTAGTTCTAGGTATAGTGTTAGTTCTAATGATAAATCTAAGGCAAAACTAGAACTAACACTAGACCTAGCACTAGAAACATTCAGGTTTATCTAGCAAATAGTTACTCTTCCTTATGCTGCACAACTTTTGTAGCATTGATCAATGAGCAGTATTTCGTATTGGGACGTCCTGAACAGCAAAACTGATTGACATATAACTACCCTTAAATCGTAGTGTTGCCAGTCATCATTGTAGGTGCAGATCTCATACGCAAAGATATTAACATCTTTGTCAAAAAGTATGACACTCGAAACTACGTCTGCTTAACAACGGGAAAATCGATCGTGTTTGCGTGGTTTCCGATGTTAGGGGGCATATCGTGTTAAATGTCAAGTAACACTGATTAAATATAGTTGCTTATCAAAGTCCAACCTAAGTCTTTGATTTATAATATCGATTGTAGCGCCTCGGCTACAAGGTATTTCTCCCCCAAGACAAAATGTCATAGTTTTAGCATATATGTAGTATTATCAATGATAGATTTAGGCCATACAAAAAATTTACGTCAATTTTTAGTTGTAAAGGTACAATAATCTCATTGCTATCTTTGATGGTGTTGATTGTAGCACCTCGGCTTTGAGTAAATGTAGCCCTATGATACAATTTCATGACCTTAGCACATAAATATTATATTACTATTAATAACTATTAAGTACTGAATTTTAGTGTTTTTACTAGACTAACCGAGATTAAGTTTATTTACATTTATAATTGATTTATTTTATTTACTAATTTAAAAGTTATTTTATTTTAGTCGCATTTTCCTCACTTTTAATAGCAATAACAATATTGACGAGCTTTTAATAGAGTCATCTTTACTTTTATTTCTTCTTGTTCTTTTAAAAGTGTATAAAAAATTATTAAAAATTCGGAATTAATAATTTAATTAATAGTCAGTTGAACGATTAAAAAAGTATAAAACGACACCGATTATACAAAACGACCGGTTTTACGTAATCAAAATTTGCTTCTACATTATTCAACATATAACAACTTTGTTAAAAAAGCATTTATTCAAACCCATTCCTTTTGAAAATAAACCGTGCTTATTGACACAAACGTAAAGTAACTGTAATGTTAGAAAAATGTTATGTCAAGCAAGTTATAATCTTGTGTAATTACGTTTTGATACACGATTATATCAAGTTTTTATCACGATATAACTCAATGAAATAAAAAAAATGGTGTTGTAATTTCTTGTAATCTAACACTTTAATGTCGATTAAATACACAATCAACTAAAAAATAAATAACTTTTGAAACATCTGGTACATTTTAATTCAAATAATATAAATGGTTAATCAAAATTTTATTTTTACATTTTAATTAAATAATTTTCACGATTAGTTGCAGATTATATAACAAAACTATTTCTTAACTGGTAAATAGAAAGCATAACGTATTAAATTCGTTATTGGAATTGTTTAAAGCCAACAATCTCCATATGTATTTTTTATATTTATACTTCATTATTATGTCTTATTATACACATAATTACGTTTTATCTTGTGATTTATGAACGAAGATCATGGATTTTCCTTTTCTCTCTCGTTTATTAAAGGAATATGATTAAGTGAATTTGTCGGCTTGATCTTTACATAATTTGTTTCTTTAAAAGTCCTTGTGCCCGATCTCTACTTATGTATTTATGGTGTATTTACTTCCGTGAGACATTGAGCTTGTCAGTATGAATCAAAATGGAATTTAATTATAAAGAAAGAAATATTTTAAAAAATAATAATTTTAGGTTACATAATTTAACAATTACAACAATTTATTTATGTATTATTTCCACTTTTGTTTGCTTTTTTTGGTTCACTTGAGAAACGAAAATGTCGAAAGTTCATTCTTTACGATTGTATAATGAAAATTCGTTTCGATATTTCGTTTCGCCCTGAAATTTAATACTTAAGGAAATTGATTATTGCATAAAGCACACTAACTGTAAAAATTAAAAACAATATTTTACCGAAAATGTCAATGCATTTGTTGTTGTTTTTGTCTCGGTGTACGAAAAAGGGCAACAACATTTTGATTATATAATCCGTTATTTGAATCATTTAACTGAGGAAATATGGGTCTGGTAACTTATTTGATTACGTAAGACAATTCACTTCTATCTTAAATAATGCAAACTAATTCAAAGTTGTAATGTATTTTGAGAAATAAATTTCTGAAAGTGAGTAAAGTCCAAATATGACTAATATCCAAAAAAAAGTAAAGTACTGTTGATGACATTGTATTTTTCTCGTCCATTTCTTTACACTAAATATGAAAATAAAATTTCCTAAACTACTTTTTAATGAATATGAAGGCCTTTTTATTTCAAAAATAAAAAAATCATTAAAATTAAACCTGAATTCTTCAAATATTTGCGAATTTCAAGGTTAATTATAGAATTCGGTGCTTTTTATTAGATTTGTTGATACAAGTGGTTAAAAGATTCTGAATGAAAACTGGAAACTTTATTTGCAAATGTCAAATAATGTAAACAAATCTGCTAAAACGTGAGAGGATTACTTAACATAAACGAAGTTGCTTATAATATTTTATTATCTACGAATAAAATTGTATGTACCACACTGCACCTACTCTCTTTGAGGAACTCTGGAGTATTTATCCAGAGTTTGGTGAAGAAATCTGTAGTTAGGTGATGAGTACAAAATAGACTCACTAGAATAGTGTAGAATCACTATTCTACTTGATGACTAAAACAAATTGTTGTGTGTTTCGGGGTGATGAATTTAGATAAATTCTAATAAAGCTTCGTTAATTATAAAGAATGTGGTTTTATTACCCAGTGCGGATTTCTTGCAGACTCGCCCTGAATGTTAGCATTATTAGGATCTGATAGTCTATTGTGTAGAGAAAAGTCCCTGTGTAGTAATTGCACAGGTACTCTTCTTTTCATTGCCTTTTCAACGAATTCACTCAAAAAAAGTCAATCGATGTGAAAGACTTCGATCCTAGTGAAGCGCCAGACAGTCTTAGAAGATTTTCTTCATATATAGTACTAGTCCTTGTTGAAATATGGATGGTGTAATCTCTTCTGTTCTTCGATCTTAATGTTTTGCACTGTGAGAACGTATTTACAGCTCATTTTTTTCCTCATCGCAGATAATTTTAGCCAGTAGTCATTTGTCTACAGTAGATACATTCAAAGCTGTAGAAAAAAAATAGTTATTAGAAACTGAAGACTTTTTCATAGGTTGTCGATGTAAGAATTGTCATCCTTCAATGTCATTTCTTCAATCGGGACACTTTGCTGGATTACTAGCTCAAGCCACAGTTTCTTTTTTTGACCCGACATTGACACGATATCGGAAGCTAATTATGGATTGATTACGAGATATCCATGGAAGCTGTAGTAGTATTCATAAACGATATATAATCTAAGAAGGTACTTCTTCAAGTTGTTGAGTGAGTTTTGTCGTCGCATTCGATGACATAATTCTATGTACTTATTTATCTCGACGACATTGAATGTGGTAGAGATAAAACGATACCACCATATTCTCTCTTTCCTTGCGGTTAACAGCTAAGTATAACTTAATTATCGTAACATCGGTGGCCGAAAATTGAGACAGCACATAGCTCCATATATGTTATAAATAGCAGTTTGGACCTTTTCATAGCTAAAGGTAGAATCCTTATTTATTAACATTATTTATCATATCGAGGTGGTGACAAAGTGTAGAAAGTTGTACTAGGGTTGTACTGTGCAAATTTATGTGGCCATCATCATGGGGTAGAGATGTTTTGTGAACCCCTCGGAATCTTTCCCAAGTATGGTGGGTCCAGGACGAATTAATTCAAGGCAATTGATGTTTTGTGTTAATTTTGAGGATCACGATAGTTATGTGAAACTGAAACATAGTATTAACTTTTAGTACATAAAAAGTTTCGTTCTTCAATATTTTGTCCCTATTAAGCGAATGCTCTATTAAACCGCGGACCAATTAAGCGGAATGTAGCATTCTTTAAAAACTATTTCTAATGGATTCTTCGATTTTTTGAATACAAATGTTCGTGATATATTTTTTACACTTAATTATTTAATTGGATTTTCAAGGAAAAAATCTTATTGATAATTTTATTGTCACTGGAATCAGATTTACTAATAAATAATGGTAAAGTGTTACATAATCGTAACAATAAACAACAATTGAGACAGGAACGCGTACGGTACGTTCTAAATGGTAAAAGTGAAACACAAGATATCCTCAAAGTCTTAAAAAATTTGTATTTATATTTCTAATAGGACGGTTATCTTTTCGATCTATACGTTTCGCCATAAACGCATAAAACTGTAATAACAAGGGGTAATTAAGTTAACAATTACCAATCGATAATTGTCGTGTTTGATAACTAGTTGATTCATTTGAAAGAATTGTTTCTTTTTTGTTTCAAACCTGATTAAAGAGTTATGTAATTTGTTATAAGTTGTTACTGTTATACATTTTACTGTATTATTTAATGGGTGGACATATATCATCTTATGATATAATATTTCTATTAATAACAAAATTATTATCGGTACATTACGTTTTGTTTAG